TTCTCAACAACATAGATGGCCCAATTCCAATATGGCCCAACTCCAAGCGTTTTTTTGCTTATTCTCAGCAGCCCAATAATTTGCAATATTTCCAATTTCCATATCAATTGGAGCCCACCACTCTTCCTCAAGCATTTAACACCATGAGTCTTCAAGACCCGGGGAATGCCGATTGGTACATGGATACTGGGGCTATCGCACACCTTCATGCCAACTCAGATATTCTAAAGTCTTTTAGCAATAAGTGCACAAATTCTAATTTATCGGTTTTAGTCGGGGACGGATCTCACATTCCGGTGTCAAAAATTTGTCATTCCACTCTAGATCTCAATCCATTTCGTCCATTAGTTTTAAAAAACATTCTTATAGCTCCTCAAATTATAAAAATTCTCATTTATGTGTGTACTTTTACTCGTGATAATAAAAGTTCTATTGAATTTGATGAATTTGGTTTTCTGTGGAGAACTTCCTCGCCAAACAAATCTTCATTTGATGTGATAGAACGGGTGATCTTTATCCTATCACCAAACCAACCACTCAAGCTTTTCTCACTGTTGGCTTATCTTTGTGGCATCAACGTCTTGGTCATCCCAGTTAACAAACTCTCAAGTTACTAGTTTCTAGAAAGTTTATTTTTTGTAATAAACAAGATCCTAGTTTATTATGTCATGCATGTCAACTTGGCAAACATGTACGTTTATCTTTTGCGTTATCTAAAATTGATGCTTTATTTCCTTTTCATGTCATTCATTCTAATGTATGGACATCTCCAATTCAAAGTCCCAGTGGAATTAGTTACTATGTCATTTTTCTTGATCAATTTACTCATTTTGTTTGGGTGTATCCTCATAGAAAAAAAATCTGATGTCTTCTCTAAATTCCTTCATTTTCGTGCATATATTAAAAATCAATTCCAAACGGACATTCAAACTTTTCAATGCGAGAATGGCAAAGAATATGATAACTCTCAATTTCACCAATTGCGTGACACTCATGGCATTCACATGCGTTTTTCCTGTCCATACACCTCTCAAAAAACGGAAAATCTGAACGTATGCTCCGCACAATAAACAACATGATGTGCATTCTCTTGTTTAAGCTTATCTCCCACCCACTTATTGGGTCGAGGCGCTTCACATGGCCACCTATCTCTTAAATATATTACCTTCCACCACTTTAAATAATGACACACCTTTTCACAAACTTTTCAACAAACATCCCACATACTCCCATCTTCGTGTTTTCAGATGTGTTTGCTATCCCCATCTAAATAACATCCATAAACTTCAAAATCGATCTGGACCCTGCATATTTTTAGCCTACCCATCAAATCACAAAGGTTTTCGTTGTCTTGATCTCCACACCAAACAAATAATCATTTCCCGTCATGTTGTTATCGATGAAACCATCTTCCCATTTGGGTCTATGACCCCAAATCACTCTCCTGACTATGGGTTTCTTAACATTGATGCTGCCCAAAATTGCTTTAATGACCTGAATCACCCTTCCACTCCTCTCGGGCCATCCACCGCCATCCCGCCATCTCACGATGGCTCTATTGCTGCTCCTGAATCCTCGACAACCGATACTTCTTCTTCAACCCCATCCATTGATCCAACTAGCTCTATCGACAAGCCGACTCCTCCCTCTCAACCTCCTACCTTCACTCCTTCCGTCTCCACTCGCACTCATGCCATGGAAACCCGAGCTCGACATGGAATCCACAAACCTATTGACCGTCTCAACCTTCATATTGACACCAACATCACTTCTTCTCTTCCTCGCACGAATTCTAAAGCCTTTCGAGATCCTAACTGGTTAAGTGCTATGAAATATGAATATAATGCACTTATTTCTAACAGAACTTGGGTACTTGTTCCACGGCCTACTAATGCTAATGTGGTTAATTGTATTTGGTTGTTCAAAAAGAAACTTAATGCAGATGGATCGCTTGCTCGCTATAAGGCCCTATTAGTTGCAAATGGACAAAGTCAACGACCCGACATTAACTGTAATGAGACCTTTAGTCCAATTTTCAAACCGACAACTATCCGGACTGTTCTTAGTATTACCATTTCTCACCACTGGCCAGTTCATTAGTTGGATGTGAAGAATGCTTTTCTTCATGGTCATATTCAAGAGACAGTTTACATGCACCAGCCATCCGGTTTTTGAGACACCACGACACCCGACCATGTTTGCCTTCTCAAGAAGTATTTAAACGACCTCAAACAGGTACCTCGGGCTTGGTATCACTGATTTGCTCAGTTCATTACTACCTTTGGCTTTACTAACAACAAGTCAGATACATCACTTTTCATCTATAGACAGGATGGCCATACAACATACTTACTTCTATATGTTGATGATATTGTGTTGATTGTTTCCTCTCTAGATCTTATTCAACAAGTTATTTCCACATTGCAGTCTGAATTCTCCATGACCGACTTGGGACCTTTGAACTACTTTCTCGGAATTGCAGTCTCTAGAGATCGTCAAGGCATGTTTCTCTCTCAACAAAAGTATGCGACCGAAATTCTTGATCGTGCAAAGATGTCTAACCACAGGTCGGCCCGCACTCCTACTGACACGTCTACCAAACTAGACGACTCGGGATCACCTGCTTCTGATCCGACTCTATATTGCAGTCTAGCTGGTGCCTTTCAATATTTGACATTTACCCGACCTGACATTACGTATGCTGTCCAACAGGTTTGCCTCTTCATGAATGACCCCAGAGAGCCTCACTCTGCTGCTCTCAAGCGAGTTCTTCGATATATTCGCGACACTTTTGATCACGGTCTTCAACTATATGCATCCCATTCTCGGGGGTTGATCGCATATTCTGAAGCTGACCGGGCTGGCTGCCCTTCCACTCGCCGCTTTACTTCTGGGTATTGTGTTTTTCTTGGCTCCAACCTTCTCTCCTGGTCTTCTAAACGACAAGGTACGATTTCTAGATCCAGTGCCGAAGCTGAGTATCGCGACATGGCTAATGTTGTTGCTAAGACTAATTGGCTCCACAATCTCTTGTGTGAGCTCATTTATCCACCTCACACTGCCACCCTTGTTTATTATGACAATGTTAGTGCCGTCTACTTGTCCAACAACCCTGTTCAGCATCAACACACCAAGCACATCGTGATTGACATACACTTTGTTCGTGACAAAGTGGCTCAGGGACAGATTCGGGTACTTCATGTTCCCTCTTCCTCTCAGTATGCAAATATCTTCACCAAAGGGCTTCCATCTCCTATTTTTCTTTACTTCAAAACCAGTCTGAACGTTCGTTCAAGACACCCCGTTCAGATTGTGGGGGCTGTTAACCGTATATTGATTATTAGGTTATATTGTGTTGTATTTGTTTTATTACTTTAGCTTATTTTAGTTATAACCCAATATATTGTACCATTGTTATGTTATGTATTGAATGAAAAGGCTCATGCCACGTTTTGAGGGAAATATTGGTTTGTAACAATTATGAACCATGTTACAAGGTAAATATTTATCACATTCAAATACATTTGTTAGATCTTAAATTGATCGTTTAACAAGTTGTTTTGTTGTTGTTGTTGTTGTTGTTGTTGTTGTAGAAAATAAACACAAATACCTCACATTTTTTTTTCTTTAGTCATTTATCTTTAAGTTGTATTCAGTAGACAATTGAATCCTTATTTGTGTTCAATTACGCAATTAGAGTGATAGGGTTAGATTGTTTTTCAGAAAAGTTTTTTTTTTTTTAAAGTTGTTAACAACCCTAAAAAATGTTATAAAGAAAAAAAGGTAAGGATCTCTAAGATTTTGATTTAATCTGCCATACATAGTGGGGGTGACAATTTATGACACGACACGACAAAAATATACGACACGAAATGAAATTGGGACGAAACTGAAATTTGAATTTGTGTTCGTGTTAACTATAAAAAACACGTTCTCGTATCGTGTCGTGTTCATGTTCAAAATTCGACACGAAATTGACACGATTTAGCAGTTCTTTATCGTATTTTTCGTGTTTGTTGTGCATTTCGTGTTATATTTGATAAAGTATTGATTAAATAAATTAGTTTTTAGTATATGATATATTTTTCGTGTCGTGTTGTCTTTGTTGTTTTTTAATTCGTTCGTTTTCGTGTTAGTTAAAAAAAAACACGACATTGTGTCATGTCATGTTCGTGTTACATAAAACATTGTCGTGTCGTGTTGTGTCAGACAAAAACACGAAACAATAGCACGATTTGCCATCCATAATACATAGTTTACCATGTCATATTTTAATTTTGCACTTTTGACTTATGTTTAAAATGTTGTTACAAATTTTGTAAAATCTTAAATTTTGGTACGAATATTGTCCAAACTTTTCTTTTATAAATTAACCGCAAAATTATTTATTTCTTTTACGAATTCATCTTTTTACAACCTTTTTTTTTTTTTCTTTTCTTTTCTTTTTTTTTTTTTTTTTTTTTTTTTTTTTTAGACCTTTTTCAACTTTTTTACATTCTTTTCTACGAATTTCTATATACAAAAAAAGAATTTACGTCTTTTTTCTTTAAATGCAACGTTTTATACAATATTTTCAGAACTTTGTTTACAAGTTTTTTAAATCTTATTGCAAAAATATAATAAATTTGATTAATTTGTAGGGACATATAAAAAGAAAGTTGTATAAAACTTTGTTTAAAATACTATTCATATTTATATTTTTTACAACGTTTAAAATAGTTGTATATACATTTTTATAACATTTAAAATGTTGTAAAAGTATAAATATATAAAAAAAAAGTATTCATACAACTATTTTTACAGATCAAAACAACTTTTTATATTGTCTACAACATCTATAATACTTTTATTTTGAAATAACCGTATAAATATGTAAAAAATGTAAAACAAGTTTATACTATTTTGTAAAAAGAAGTTTTAAACTTTTTGTAGAAGAGCTTTAGAAAGTTGTAATTTAAAAGTAAAATTGTAAAAAAGTTTATAACAAGTGAAAAAAAGGACTAATAAAAGATTGTAAAAAAGTTAAAAAAGTCTAAATGATTTTGTAAAAAACTAAAGTTGCAAAATAATAATAATAATAATAATAATAATAATAATTTGCGGCTATTTGTAAAAAAAGTTTGGACCTTATTAATAACAAATTTAAAGTTTTGATTAAAGTCATAACAGAATTTTAAAAACCGAGTCAAAAATGTACAATTAAAATACCCATGCTAAACCTCACATTGTATGTGGAAAACAAAATCCTAATATATGTTACCTTTTTATACATTTTTTTGGGTTTGTTGTTAATTTGAAGACATTTATAATTGTTTCTTTCCCAAAAACTATTTAAACCCTAAGAATATATTTCAACCTTGCCTCCACGGTGGGTTGCTATTATCGAGAACCGATAGATGGTAGCTAAGAAAAAATGAAGATGTAAACATATGTATGAACAAAGTTTACTATATTCCATATAATATGTTGAAGACCATTTTATCGGGTTGACATCTACCCCATAATCAATTAGCATTTAGCAATATATGTATTACAAAAGGAATATAATTGTTGGATAAATGCTAATATACTCGGATTTCATGATTGATAATAGATTTTGTAAAATATTAAATTTATATATCTGTATGTTACTGGTTTTGACATTTGTACAATTTACCTATGGTTTTGAGTTCTTTTAAAGAACACAAAATATATATAGTTTCATGTGGAAAAAGAAAAGAAGAAATTTGCAAGCAACTTACCACTAGAATATCCAAGAGGAGGGTCAATGAAGATGAACTTTGAATCAGAGAGTTTGCTCTCGAGCTCACCAAGAGCAGTAACAAGCTTGGTATTGAATTGTATAATAGCTCCATTTACAGCATTCACACATGTAATTGTGTTAAACCTCTTCATCATTGCTGGTGTACAACCTATGTATCCGGCTCCATGTATCCCAAACTTTCTTGCTCCATATTTATACAGTGTCTGGACTCAAACTAAATCAACATTAGCTTATATACAAAAAAAAAAATTCCTAGAAGCTAGATTTTAGGTACTGACGGATAACTGTTTGGAATATTGTTTGACGAGGATTTCGGCATATTGTTCTGGCGTGTATAAGCTGCTTGTTTGATAGTATTCCGGATAAAAGTAATTGTTAATGTAGTCATTATTGCCCATTGCAACGGTGTATATGCATTTGTTGAGGTGTTGTCGAACTCTGGCTAAACTCCCATTACCTATCAAGTCGACTAGTTGCAAAGTTGTGATAGCATGATTTGTTAGTTGCTGATTCATGCATACCCTACCACCCTGTCATCGAATTATAGTTACCATTTGGTTAATTAAACAATCCAATATACAAGAGAGTCATCATCAGTTTTCATTCATGTTTATTCTAGGTAATTAACGTTTATATCGTGTTAGCATCACATCTCTTTGATTTAATGAAGCAATTAAGCTACACAATTTTAGTGGATTTTCAAAATTAATTTAAAACTTGCATGTAGACGTAAGTTTCAAATACTTGAAACATATATATGCTTGCATGTATTTTTGAAGGAAGGCATGCATAATGTAAAATTATAGTATAATGAAAATCTACCATATGTTCAGCGGTTTCATCAAGAATTCCAGCAGCACCTGATGCATAATTTACCCCTTGAGCTATTTCGTCACTTCTTGCGGTTGCAAAAGGTGGAATGAAGTTTTCAAACCCTAGTTGTTGAGCTGGGACGAATAACAGAATGAAATAGAATTAAGTATAAGTTTTAACATTTAACATTATAGATTCTTGATTTCCTAGAACCATGAATATGTTAGAAAATATTATAGAAAGAGACCTACAACGTCCACAATATTTCGACCATTTGAAAATCTCCCGGTAGGACCATCGGGAAAGTCAATTCCATATGGTGCATAATTGGCTTTTGCCGTCGTAACCAGGTGGTTGTTATTGCCATTATCCATTAACGAGTCACCAAATATGAAGTAACAAGGCACCTGAGGAACGCTATGTGCAAAGCACAATAGTGTTGCTGACAATATCACCAAAATCAAAGCTTGAACAAAAGAGGTCATTTTCCTCCTTTTCGGGTTATTCAAAAAAGAAATTAATTGATGGTTTCTTTTGAATGCCAAATTAATGGATGTTGATGAAAGTACTTATAGAGTTATAGACAATATATGTTTGGTCCATATATGAGTGTGTCCTTATCAACAAGTTAATAGGTAGAGCCCCCACCCATATAATATATAGCGTTCGCATGTGATCTTTCTTTGTTTTGTAGCAAGCTTACTGTTTCTCTAATTTATCCTTTTTGAGATCATCGCTTTTTCAGAACCACAGATATTGTATCCAAAAAATTTCTCACATTCAGCATGATATCCATTTAGCCAAAAATGTTTAACGTGTCAAATACTATATTGATTTAAACATCATTCATGTGGCAATCATGTTTCTTGAGATACTTACCATGATAAATAATACTTTATGGTGTCGAGGGCCGTCATGACTCCTGGCCACCATAATTTGGAGAAAATCAACTAGTTTTAGCATAACTTGTCTTTTATTAAACTTATAATGGTGGCTCACCTTTATGTAAATAATAATGGTCCCTCGTCTCAGAAAAGGTCAGCAAACTGATGCGAATACCATTATTAGCTCTAATATCAAAGATGAAATATACTTATTATCTTTTTACGATTTGTTTGTGTTTAAAACTTTAAAATTGTTGATATTTTGATATGATTTAATACCATAAAGTAATTAGTTTTAGGGATAATGACTTAGGAGGGTAATAAGGTTTTCAGTTTGTCCGTATTAGGTCACTAAGTTTTTTTTTTTTTTTTTTTTTTTTTTTTTTTTTTTTTTTTTTTTTTTTGTGCGTATTAGACCAATATGATTGTTATTACCGTTTAGAAATAGTCCTTTTACCGGTTTTAACGAGTAAAAATGACTATTTCTAAACGGTAATAACAACCATATTGGTCTAATATGCACAAAAAAACCTTAGTGACCTAATATGGACAAACTGGAAACCTTATTACCCTACTAAGTCATTAACCCTAATTTTAAAGACATTGAGAATATATGACCATCAACAGTAAACTACTTCGTTTAGAACTCGCGTTGTCCCATATAACCTGCTACTCCTCTATATGGCGAAGCTCTTCATCTATAGTCGTCCCTTTGGGGACATCCGATAAAATTGGAACGATACAGAGAAGATTAGCATGTCCCATGCGCAAGGATGACACATACAAATTGAGAAATGGTCCAAATCTTTTTAACCGTTCGTCGTCTTCTCTGGAACCCTAATTGCCTTTTCAAATGCTAATAGAGTTCAATTGCAATTCTTACGTTTCAGTAGTTCATTTACTGAAGTCATGATCAGACAACATGTGGATTCTATGGTCAGATTGATCTTCCTGTTGATGTCTTCAACCATTTGTGGCAAGTAAGGGTGATGTTTCTTTCTATAAAGTCTCCTTTAAGTTTTTTACTTTTCCTGTCATTAGGTTTCATGCTTTATAAACATCCGTTTATGTGTTGTATATAGTATGTATGTATTTGTGTATGTGCTGATTTTTTTATTCATTTTGCAACTTCAGTTTCTTAGTTCATGTTGTAGTTTTGCTTTTTATAAAATAATTGATAATAGACATCCTATACAAGTCTCTGTTGGTTTTACATTTCCATTCGTTATCAAATGTAGACATTGATGGGAGGTATCAAAGTGAGATTTTGTTTTTGTACAAAAAATAAGTTATTGATAAAATGTTGCATATTTATGTAATGAAGATCATCAATCATATGAGTTTCTGGACTTAGAAGTTCCGGAAGGGTTGTGAGATAAGTTTAAATGGAAGCAACTATTTTCAGTCAAACAAATCAGTCACATTGATTAGTAAGCATGTTTTTCTAAATAATTAGGGTTAATGAGTTAGGAGGGTATTAAGGTTTCCAGTTTGTCCGTATTAGATCACTAAGGTTTTTTGTGTGTATTAGACCAATATGGTTGTTATTACCGTTTAGAAATAGTCCTTTTTACCCGTTAAAACCGGTAAAATGACTATTTCTAAACGGTAATAACAACCATATTGGTCTAATACACACAAAAAAAAAAACCTTAGTGACATAATACGGACAAACTGGAAACCTTATTACCCTCCTAAGTCATTATCCCTTAGTTTTAGAGTCTAGTTCTAAATTAGCTATAATTGTTTTTTTTTTGTTCAAAATCCATTATTTTTCCATGAATTCCTAAATCTATACTTTTAGTCTACCCTGCACCAACAAGTCAATACAAGAAACAGTCTCTATTTTATACTTTTAGTAGGTTAGAAAGTTATCATCTTGCCGACATAGTAGTTTTGGTAAGGTGGCAGGGTTACTAGACTGCAAATTTGATATGCCAGTGGACTATGTCTAGCTGACGTGACATCACATATAAAAACATGCAAAAGCATTAGAGTGGTGATTTTAATATCTTTCTAAAGTTTCAAAATGTTTAACATAAAAATATGGGGTAAAAGCAAGGGTGGACACACGAATTAGTAGGAAGGGTTGCACAATTTTTTTTCGGTTAAACGTAATATAAAACATTAAAAAAAACCGGTCAAATATAATATAAAACGTCTAATACAATTTTTTTTCTGGTTAAGCATAATATAAGAACGATTTATTACAATTTAAATTTGTCATCTTCGTGAAGACATCTTTTGAAACCGCTTCATTACTTTTTCATTCTCACTCGCAAGTGCTTCGGTCTCGACGTTACAAAGCAATTGTAACAACCCAATTTTTACTACAAAAATTATTTAATTTAAATAACATAATGACATAAAATCCATAAAAGCACACATTTGGATAAAAACATCATCTTTTACATTATATGAAATATCAGAGTAGGTCCCCAAACATATTGGTGAAAAGAAATATAGATAGAGTGCACGCCACGTCATCACGCCTTGCCCTTGCCTTTCGGCTCCGATGTACCTGAAACAATTCAACAACCTGTAAGCGAAATGCTTAGTGAGTTCCCCAGAGTATACCACACACCACACATACATAATACTAGTACAAGTCATATAAGTCACGCATACAAAGAATCAACAAGAATGCCATGGGCTACCCCACATGGTCTTTACTTGGACTGTCATGGGCTACCACACATGGTCTTACGCCCAAGGCCATGGGCTACCCTACATGGTCTTTACTTGGACAGCCATGGGCTACCCCACATGGTCTTTACTTGGACTGCCATGGACTACCCCACATGGTCTTATACCCAAGGTCATGGGCTCCCCCGGGGTCTTCATGCAAAACATACGATCACAATACATATTAAGACACAGAGTAGTTACACATATATCATAAACACATAATGGGCCAGCCTTGGTACTGTAGACCCATGGGTATGGTGAGAAGACTCACCTTCGTCAGAAGAATACAAATACTGCACTCTTAATGACCTGCAACCTTCCGAACTGAATAATAATAACAATAATAACGATATCATCAATGATTGATCCATAAATTATCCCAAGGGAGGGTCCAACCTATAAACCTTACCCTAAAGGCCCAATCACCTTTTTGTTGTAAATGGGCCTAAGATCTAAGTCCAATATCCCTAACGGGTTCGCTTGGCCCAAAAGGCCCACCCAATTAGTCCATGTCCAACTGATAGAAATCTTTTAACTTACAAAATCCAATCAGGCCCAATAACCCAAAAGAGGCCCAACAGTTCGACAGCCCAAAATAAGGACGACTCAACTACCTCGTGTATGCCCAACGTACCATTCAGGTACGCGTAGTGTACCAGATCTTCAAGGGTTACGCGTAGCGTATTTGGAGTACGCCCGGCGTAAGTCCCAGTTAATCACTTTCTCCATTAAGTGCTTATTACTTCATTGTTTTACATCCAAACTCTAGATCTGAGTCCATTAACACCTCATAGGGCATAAAGTTGCTAACTTTATGCCTTTGTATGTCCATTAAGCCCCCAAAGTCACCATTAAGACCTTTCCCAAGCCTCTCATTCATGCACAAGGTTAAGACTTCCACCAAGATCCTATTTTTATACTCTCTAATGGCTTAAGGATCTTAGATCTAACCTTATTAATGAGTGGAGACGATCTAGCCAACAAATGAGGCCTAAAATCCATCAAAAGGACCAACTACAAAACCCCTAGCTAGATCTAAAGAGCAAAAAGTAAAGGTAAAAGATTTTTACCTCTAAAAGCTCTGTAAGATGATTATGATGTAGGATCTTGAAGCACCCTCTTGATTCAAGCTTGCTTGACCAACTCCTTTCTTTGAAATGAACACTAAAGAACACAAAAGCACACTTCTAAGGCTCAAAAATGGTTTTCTAAAGCTTCCAGCAGTGAAATAACGTCCAAGGGCAGTGGTGGCTCTCAAGGGTTTAGTCCTAAGGGCTTAAGGTCGTTTATATAGAACCCTCACGTGCGAAATTAGGGTTTTTGGTTCCTGGCGCGTACGCCCCGCGTAACCCCTGGTATGCCCAGCGTACCTCTAAACATCCGCGACTAGGAAGGGGTCTAGTACGCTAAGCGTACACTTAAGTACGCCCAGCGTACTAAGGGACTAATAATGTCGAATTTCTAATTTAAAGGGGGTCAAGTCATACCTTTTTATTTCTGGATGTTACAACTCTCCCCCACTTGAACTAGACTTCGCCCTCGAAGTCCATGGATGAAAATAGATCAGGGTAATGCTCCCACATCTCTTCTTCTGGCTCCCAAGTCCACTCGGAGCCCTTCCGATGTTGCCATTGCACTTTTACCAACTTTACTTCCTTATTCTGAAGTGTCTTCGTCTTCCTGTCTAGTATGGAAATTGGCTTTTCGACGTAATTCAGTCCCCCATCCACTTGAATGTCATCCAAATTTATACCCGTGGACTCGTCAGCAATACACTTCCGAAGCTGAGACACATGGATGGTGTTGTGAATCTGGCTAAGCTCCTCAGGGAGCTCTAATCGATAGACCACCTTGCCTACTCGGGCTAGGATCCTGAACGTACCTATAAATCGAGGGCCCAACTTGCATTTCTTATGGAACCTGATAATCCCTTTCTAGGGCGACACCTTTAATAAAACAAAATCCCCCACTTGAAACTCAAGATCCGATCG